AAAAAATGTTTATGGACAGCCCACCAGTATCTTGTCCCTTGTCTCTTTATCTGGGCATTGGAGGTACAGTGTTGAACAAGACAAAGATAAAGCCTCTCTTGTCTGCCATTAAGACGTTTAGTAAACTCGAGTTCAAAAGCAGGAGAAGCCAGCAGCCTCCTTTTTCTGCAGCCTGGTGGCCTAGTAGGTTACACATGGTGCAGCTAACCACCAGGCCAGAAGTTCAAAGCCACCAGCCACTCCTTGGGAAAAGGATAAGGCTGTCTACTCCCATAAAGACTGAACGTCTCAGAAATCCATAGGGACAGCTCTACTCTGTCCTACAGGGTCACTACGAGTCAAAACTGACTCAACAGCAAAGAGGGAAGAGTTCAAGAGACAAATGTGAGCTAAGTGGGTGTGCTTGAGAGCATGTGCGTGTGAGAGCCTGTGCGTGGAGCTAAGCCTGGCTGGCGAGCAGGTGGTGGCCAGGAGGGGAGCTTTACAAAGACCCTGAGACAAGGACAGTCCTTAGGGAGCGCCAGTGAGGGGAGGAGAGGAGTCAGAGAGGAGTCAGACCGGGTCCCAGGTCACAGAACCTGGAGTTTAATGTGGTCGAGAAGCCACTGGAGATAAAAGACTCAACTGGTACGCTGGGAAGATTTCTCTAGCTGCTGCGTGGAAAGCAGATTCTAGCGGAGAGGAGCAGACACCCCAGTCCAGAGATCACCAGGGGCTAGGCGGAGGGTTCTAGGAGTGAAAGTGGGGCAAGGTGGCCAAACCCAGTCAGTACAGGTACTGTGTGCCCTTAACTTCTCTGTGCCTCAGCTTCCTCATCTGCCAAGTGGCGATGGGAACTATTTCCCTCATCACTTTGCTGTGATCTCTACGTGAATAAATATGTGTCAAGCATTCAGAATAGTGACAAACACATAGCATGTATTTTGTGTGTTATGTGAGGTGCAGGGAGAAGAGAGGCAGATGGCTCCCTTTGGTGGATAAACAAGGGTGCTTCATCCTTCCTGGCTGTAGGAGGATGGAGAGAGTGTAATGTGAGGCTGAAACTAAAGACTCCAAAGAAGATAGTCCCCCAGCAGGGGATAGTATTCCTTTCAATGTTGTTTCATTTCCTTTGGACATGTGTCCAGGAGGGCCCAGTCCCTGGAGAAAACTGTCACGCTGGGTAAAGTAGAACATCAACCAAAGTGGGAGAGAGAGAGCCGGGACCAGATGGACAGAGTGGCCCAAACACAGCGATGCCTGTGAGGCGGGTGCAGGCCGGGCCACATTTCATTCTGTTGTACACACACAGGGTCACTGTGAGAAGAAATTGACCCACGGCACCTAACGACCACCATGCGTTGGAACAGACAACCCAAGACCATAAAACATTCGAGGAAAACCAATGAAAGAGAATGGTGGGCTAAACAGGATAATCCAAAGGGAAATCAAAATGATTCCCACAGGAAGCAGGGACCGTTTAGGAAGGAGGGGGCGGGGGACGGGCAGACCATGGAACTGTCACAGCAACATCAGGAGGCAACGTAAGGGTAACAATCAGAAGTGGTCGCAGCTCTGAGAAGGAAATACAGTAGCTGATACAATTTTTTAAGGAGTCAAGGATTAGAAGTTAAGACAGTATTTGGGGGGAGAGGGGGGAGACAAAAATCAGAAAATGGAGGAAATGTTATGGGAGACAGACTCGCCAGCGTCCAGGAATCAACCAGACGCCAAGGTGAGAATGCACACCACCACCCTCGCAGCTACTGGCGTTTCCAGCGCGGAGCCAGGGACTGAATCGCAGCGTGACTAAGTAGCCACCCACCAAGATGTGCGCGGGGGCAAGGGCACTCACTTCAGACGTGTTCAGCCCTGGTCTAGACCGGAGTCGGCAATCTACGGCTTTTTTGGCACGTACACATGGCTCTGAACTAAAACTGAAGATTTTTCAAGGATACTATCCAGATAATGGTGAGGTCAGTTGTTTGTAAAATATGTTTATGGCCCTTGAATAATTTTTAAATTGTTGTTAACGGCAGGATTGTCTCCTCTTCTCAAAAGTGTGCCGACCCCTGCTCTAAATGAATGAATAACTTCCGATGAGCCCAAGCGACAGGGAGCCTACTTATTAGAATGGAAATGTATTCTTGGAATGTCTAACAAGCCTGCTGCTAAAGTGACAGAATGCCAACGTCTTTCCTGGGCTGGCTGAATAAAGGAACTCAAATACGACCCCCAAGCCTCAAGACTGCACTAAACTAACATCATCACAAACTGTGTTCACCGAGCGGTTAAAACACTACCTTCGAGCACAGCAGCTACTAAACCTGACAACCCTCCTAGAAAAGAGCCCTGTGCCCCACTGCCGCTGCCGTGGCAGGTGGGGGATGCGGCTGGGCTGCCGAAGCAAGCTCTGGACCAGGTGCCTGGAGCCTTAGACGCTAATCCTGGCTCCATTACTAATTAGCA